AAAAAAGGTAAAAATATAAAATAAAAATAAATCAAATCCCTTCAAATCTCTACAAATTAAGGAAATTAAAAATAAAAAATTTAGAGAGAGTTTATTACCTCTTCATCCACCTCCCTCTTATTTTCTTTCGATTAATAATATTATTTAAACAATATAAAAAAGAAAAATTTCCTTCACTCTCTTCCCTTCTCTCCTCAACTCTCTCAATCTAAACATAGTGTTAGTTTCGAACTTTCAATTTCAAAGTTGGGTGACTAAGTATTTGGGGGAAGGGGTCGATGATGAGAGAGAAGGCATGCCATTTTCTAAATTAAGTACCTGTTTGGTACAACTTTTTGGAAAGGCTTTTTAAGTTTAAAAGCACAAGTTGTGCCGAACACCCATATTTTCCAAACCAGCTTGGGTTGTTGAGAAGTTGATACTAGCTTCTTGCTTTTGAAATTTTGAAAAGCACAAACTTGATGCTTTTACAGGGGCTTCTCAACCACTTTAATGAAAATTGCTTGATGTTCCCATTTTACTTTCGTATTTTGACAAATTACAAAAAAACCACTATATATAAAGGATCATTTATAACATCAAACTAAAAATCCCTAATTTTTTCGTACACTCCTCCTCAACGTCTCCTCTATCTTTGTCCATCTGTACATAGCCTTAATTAGTCTCAACTATGGTTTCCATCGCACTTTGAAACCGTAACTTTAGGCGTTTCTTCTCAACCTCTTCCTCGATTTACTGCATGCTCGAAGTTCCATCTCCTCCCGTTCTCAATAGCAAATTTTCTCTCTACAAATGAGTCAACTTTTGCACTTGCTAACCTTTAGTAGAGACCCATGGCCATCTTCACTTGCTTGTGAGTTCGCACTTCCATTTTTGGTTGTTAGTGTTGAAAGGGATATATTTTTTTGGCTTAAAGAAATTGTAATTTATTATTTCATGACTCGGGGTTTTGAAAAGCCCTTCCCTTTTTCTTTCCTAAGGTTAGGGTAGAAGTATGGTGGCTTAAAACTATAGATGCGGTGAGTACTCAGTCTAAGAGTAGTGTCTTAATCAAGATATTAAAAACAAAACCAAACATTTTGCCAAAACGTATTTTCCATGTGGTTAGCTATTCTACATGTGACTTATATGTGTAGCTCATAGAGAATCAAAATTACCAAATCCAACATGACTTCATAAGTAAAATTGGCAATAAAAAACAATATGATATTGGCATGTTTGAAAGCAAAGGCACAATTCTTAAAATTGACCATAAGATTAAAGATGATGATTAAGGAACTCAGTTTTATAAGAACACTAATTTAGTTTAACTTATGTCGTGTAAAAGAGTCATTCTTGTGATGTAGAAAATGGGAAAGTAGTTTTGCTGCATTGGAAGAAAACCCAAAGCTAAAGG